TTGAGGATAATGGGGTATAGAATCTCTGGTCCCGATATGCTAGTTAGGCAAGCCCAAGGTGGGGGGGGGAAGGAACCCAGTAGTGAAGGACTTGTTAGGACTGCTGCACAGGGCACCCCAGAGTAGCTAGGCCAAAGGTCACTATAAAAATACAAACGAGCCAGGTAGTCTGTGCCCTCAAGAGCTTATATTCTAATAGAGGAAGAAAGCTCGTATGAGGGAGTGGTCACCGTGAAGTGTTTTTGGACAGGGTCGAGATACAGGACAAATGATTGACACATCTTTTCCGGGATTGGTCCCCGTTGATTTCATTACTGCTGTCAGAGCTGGAGTTGGAAGTGGGAGAAGGGAACACAGGTATATCATATGGCACAGGGTCGGATGAGGATGGGTCTGGGCCTGGGCAAGATAAGGAGAACGCTCATGACTCATGTTAAATTTGTGATCCTCTGAAACACCCAGATCTTTTCAGATCAATCACTATCTAGTCACAGCCTGCCCATCTTGTACTTGTGAAGCTTTTGTTAAAAAAAAAAATCTTAGTGTGTTCCAAAAGACAGATGTTGGGAAACACTGTCCACATCCACAGAAAAAACTGGAGTCTGAATGCAGATTGAAGCAGGCCATTTTTGGGGTGGTTTTTTTCCTTTTGTTCTCTTTCTTCTTTTACCACATGACTAATATGGAAATGTTTGCATGAGTGCACATATATGACCAAATCTAATTGCTTACCATCTTAGGGAGGAGGGAGGGGAAAAGTTTGGAACTCAAAATTTTATTTAAAACATGGGTGTTAAAAATTATCTTTGCATGTTATTGGAAAACATACTATTTAAAATGGAATAAAATTAAAACCCCAAGTGTAGAAGCTTAGCTGGAGAAGGAAATGGCAAACCACTCTAGTATCTTTGCTAAGAAAGCTCCAAATGGGGTCATGAGGAGTTAGACACAATTGAACAACAGCAACAGAATCTTCTGTTTATTTTTAACTAAATTTCATTGTATTTGGCTGGACCCAACATTCTAGCCTGTGGAGATTTTTATTTTGGACATTGTCTTCCACTATTAGATGTGACCATTATCTATTGCAGTGAGGTCACTGGTCAGTGGCTAACTCTAGATCACCTTAATCAGTGAATAGGAGACCTAATTCATCATCATTTGCTAATTAGAAGGCCATTCCCTTGTTCAAATACTGTAATCATGTTACTTCTGTCAGAAGGAATTGATAGGACCTTTGAATGTTTAATTAGGTGTTACAAGTGAGCCACTCTAGTCAGTAGCAACTATCATCGTTGACTTCCTATCATGATATTAGGAGAACCGATTTCCTCCCAATGCACTCAAGGATTTTTTGAGGGATGAGAAGATAAGGGAGAGAAAAGGGGACAAAATGTTGCTGTCTGAAAATAATTTGTACAGAGTGACTTCAAAAAAATTTCAGGGCTTCCTCCTGAAATCCTAATAGCTTGGCTTGTTTTGAAATGTCTATTTAAACCATGATGTAATCTGGTCATCCCATCTTCCTCTCCACTTCCAAACCTTTAATGACTGTTAAATGTTGGCATCTTCATAAACCAAGTGAATTGGGACGTGGGGATTTTCATTAGCTCATCACCGGAAAGGAAAGTAATAAAATGCGGATTTACATTCACTCAAACCGTAAGTGACATCCACCAATAGGCTCAGAATGTCATTGCAGGGCGTCTCCATTTCTGGGTCAGGAATGGCAACTGGTACAGTTGCTTCTGTTCCCAAGCGGGATGAATCAGGGGCTGGATTCCTTGTGTGAAAGTGCTTGAGTTAGTTTAAATCCCAAATTTCACAGTGCCCAAATGGGTATAGTTTTACTGTCTTTACTTATCACATGGCCATGGATGTTGTAATAGATGCTATGGAAATTAAAATCAAATGGACATATGAACCTGCAGCTGATGCTAATATATATATATATACAAGTGTCTTCTTCAAGTCTTCAGTAGTTCTTTGGTTTCAGCAATGTGTATATTCCCTTCACCAGTGCTGATAGCGGTCCTGACCAACTGTTGCCTATGTTCTCCCCTACATTCTCCACAGAAGAGCCACCCAACATGTTAAAAATCTTCCCTAGTGGTTTTTGTCTTTTAAGGGTGACAATGGAGTCCTTGGACTGTCCATTTAAGATCCCTCACTCTTGTCCCAATCCTATATCTCTCTTTGTTGTTGTTTTTTTTCTTTTTTGCTTTTTGGTGAGGCAATCAGGGTTAAGTGACTTGCCCAGGGTCACACAGCTAGTAAGTGTTGAGTGTCTGAGGCTGGATTTGAACCCAGGTCCTCCTGACTCTAAGGCTGGAGCTCTATCCACTGAGCCACCTAGCTGCCCCACCTATATCCCTTTAGTTCTGTCTCTTATGTTCATTTCTGACTATGTCATCAATGGAAGCCCATCATATGTCTCTTCATTACCTGCACACATTCTCCCACACACATACATACGCATGCCTACAGATCTTCTTAAAGGGAACAGGATTTTTCCTTATTTTTTTTCAAATCCTGCCTTCTACATGAAGCTTTTTTTTTCTTTTTCTTTTTGTTTAGGCAGTTGGGGTTAAGTGACTTGCCCAGGGTCACACAGCTAATAAGTGTCAAGTGTTTGGTCTGAGGCCAGATTTGAACTCAGGTCCTCCTGAGTCCAGGGCCAGTGCTCTATGCACTGTGCCACCTAGCTGCCTCCATGAAGTTTTTCTTGATCCCTCCAACTGTTAGGTGCCCTTCTTCCCTAATAACCTTGTGTTTGTTTTGTATTTATTCGTCATCCACGTATCTATAGGCATCAGTTCCTGATAGAATGTAATTCCCTTGAAAGCAGGGCCTGTTTCCATTTTGCCTTTGCCCAGCACTCGGCATGTTGGTAGGCATTAAAAAATGCTTATTGCTTATTGGTCAAGTTGATTCTTCTGCATATTTTTGTTTTCAGTTATATAAATGTCTCAGGGGTTTGCATGCGCGACCAGATTACACGGTCCTAGGGAGCAAGGACTCTGCTGTATATCCCTTTGATACAATTGAGTATTGAATGAGTCCAACTGGATAACACATTTCAAGCTAGAATGTACCTCAGGGTTCAACCTTCTCATTTTACAGATGAGGAAACTGGGGCCCAGAGAGGTGGAGGGACCATCCTATGGTCATATAGGTAGTAAGTCAAGAGTAGAGCTGGAATTCGAATCCAGGTCCCCTCATTCCAAACCCAGCTCTCTTTTTCCTGTGTGCCATTGTTGATTTTGCCTGTCTATATGAAGCAGAATCTCAGAGGTAGAAGGAACCTCCAAGGCCATCCGTACAACTTGTCACATTGAAAACCCCCCTCTCCTCAATCAATAAATCAACAAGTATTTATTTAGTGCTTGGGGATGCAGATACAAGAAATGGGATAATTCGAATTCTCAAGGGGCTTAGTTTGGTTGGGGGTGGGGAGATCACATATACATGTAAATTAGGGGGTAATCAAATAAATACAAGATAGAGAGGGAGGGCGCTAGCAGTTTGGTGGGGATCAAGAAGGTTTTCTTATAGAAGGTGATTCCCGAGGTTTTGCCAAGCTACTTTGCTGTGTTAGGGCTGATGAAACCCTTCTCCTGGAATAATCTACTGAACTGTTATTCTCCCATAGGACTTTTGCCCGTTGAGAAATCATAAACAGTGTGGTATCATCAAAGTAGCTGGAGTCAGAGGAATTAGGGTCAAAACCTAGCCTATCCTTAATACTGTCATAACGTTTGGCAAATCACTTCATCTCTCTGGGTCTCAGTTTCTTCATCTGTAAAATGATGGAGATGGACCAGCTGCCTTCTAATGCCCCTTCCATCTTCAATCAATTCTCTGAGCCTAATGGGTTCATCTAACCTGTCATTGTACCCAAAGGGTATAAAATACCATCCTTGTACCTGCTTTTTCTTTTTTTTTCTTTTTTTGGCTAGGCAATGGGGTTAAGTGACTTGCCCAGGGTCACGAAGCTAATGAGTGTTATGTGTCTGAGGCTGGATTTAAACTCAGGTCCTTCTGAATCCAGGGCCGGCGCTCTATCCACTGCGCCACCTAGCTGCCCCCATCCTTGTACCTACTACATGACCTTTAGGGTCCCTTACAGATTTAAATCTATGATCCTGAAAGTGTGTTTAATTAATTAGATTCCACAGGAGCTTATGGCTGAACCTTGGATAAACACTGTCATCTCCCTGAGTAATCTGTTCAGGCTAAACGTCCAAAGTTCCTTCAATCACTCCCTCTATGACATGGGTTGAAGACCCTTCACTGTGTTGGTAGCCTTCCTCTACATGCTCTCCTGCTTGCCAATGGCCTTCCTAGACTGAGACCCACAGAGCTGAACCCAGTGCCTCAGATGTGGCAGACCAAGGCAGAGGGTTGAGAAAAGATGGCCTCCTCAGCTCTGGACATCAAACTGATCCTGAGGAAACCCAAGATCATGTTAACCTTTTTGACTGCTGTGTCCTACTGTTGACTCCTAGTGAACTTACAATCCATTGTTAGAGAGCAGAAAGCAACAGAACTTGCCTGAATACTAGATGTGAAAATGCCCAAGTTGCCTGTTTTTTAGGCCTTTTAGATGTGGGGTCATGGGCTGAAATGTTCTGTGGTTTAATATTTTTTCACATGTTTTCCCCCTCTTTTTTTTTTTTTTGCCTATTTCCTGTCTGCAACCAGAGTTGTTCCAAGGAGACCAGTAGAAATTATTCCTTAATTTTTTTTTTCCTTTTGGGGAAGATGGTTGGGTGTGCATTCTAAACTCTACAATTCAATATGTGAATCCTTCACCCTACTAAACGATTACTGACTGGCTCATGGCCCAAAGCAAGACCCGAACCAATAATTCCTTCTTTGTTTTCAATGTTCCCTTCCCTACCCCAATGGTTATCCTCATTTGAAAGAGGTTCTTTTAAGCATTTTTAGTTAGTTGTGCACATTTGTTGTTTAACTGACTTCCTGGGCTTTGATCCAGCTCAGCTTAACTTTGTTTATTGGGTCCCAGAGTCTTCTTTTGAAATGAATGACTTTAACAACATTCTGATTTTGGGGTACCCTCTTCAAGTGTCATCTGGCCCAAACCATTTCCATATTTCACTCGTTCTCAACTTCAACAGCTCTCTCCTCACCAAGTTCCAATCACTTTCCCTAAAAAAGAAAGAAAAGTTTTTTCCATTTTACCTATTTTTGAACTTAATTATATGTGTAAATCATCCCACCCCACGCATTCAGCACATTTGTCAGCTTTTGCTTAAAACGTTCCCTCTTCCTTACCCAGAGGCTGATGTTTTCCCTTTTTTTCTCTCTTAATCTCTGGTTCATTTGTAACCTCAGAAAAATCTTATGGTTAGACTGTAAACTCCCAGGGGGCAGGGACTCTATCATTTTCCTTTGCCTTCTTCCTAGCACATAGGATATAGGTGCTTGATTAGAGCAGACACTTAAATGTTGGCATGAACAATAGCTAGCATTTATACAATGTTTTAAGATGTGCAAAGCACTTTACAAATGTGATCTCAATTGACCCTCACAACACCGTTGGGAGACAAGTGCTAATATCCCCATTTTAACACATGGGGAAACAGAAATGGAGGTTAATTGACTTGCCCAGGGTCACATAGCTAATAAATGTCTGAACTTAGATTTGAACGCAGGTCTATAGGGTTAGGTTCAATGCTCTGTCCCTTCACCATCTATCTGCCTCTGTGAATTACTGAAGATAAAAGAGTGCTCAAAGTAGTTAAACTTCCCCAATTTTCTAAATATTAGAGTTTTTGACATTTTAGTTTGGTATTTAATACTTCCTGCTATTTCTTCCATCCCAAATATATTTTCTTTTTTCAGTAAGAAAGGCAGTGGAGCATAATGGATAGAGAGCTGCTTTTGGAGTTGACCTAAATAGTAAGCCATCTCAGGAGACAGCAACAGCAACCACAGTGGTGAGCAAAGCAGGTTCTTCCAAGAGCAGAACTAGGTCAGAAGCTATAGAAAGCAGGGCTCCTGTGCTTAAAATAAAGGGATTCCCAGACAGTGTGGGTGCCATGTCTTCTGTGGTGAGTGGGTGGAAAGCTAGGGAGTATTCCAATGTTAGGAGCCTCTTGGCGCTTTCCAATCTATGCTTGGGGAATCCGACAGACCATGAGGGCTTGGGTCGGGAGATTAAATCCTGGGATTATATTTCAGTGGGCTAAAGTTAATCCTAGTCAACCCTGTTGTTTCATTATGCTTCTATTAATGTAGTTAACTATTTTTTCTTACTATACATGGAGGCTTGAGTAATTAGGAAACAACAGAGAATAGGATGAAAGGGAGTTTTCTAAATAAGATGGGAGAGTCAAATTCTTGATCTGATCAGATGATCCACACCCAGCTTCAAACGAAGGAAAGAATAGTACTTACTGACAAGGGCTTGGAGCAAGAAGTGGGTGACAGAAAGGAGGCCCTGTGGCTTACTCCGAAGTGACTTCCGGTGCTGGGTGGCGCACAGGGCATGTAGGCTGAGTGGTGGGTCTGACGGCAGCTGTGCTGCTACCGGCTGCTACATGGGATCAGGGACAGGTCACAGGGCTTCTTATCTGTCATGCCACTTTTGGATAGCTCTAATTATTCCATCAACTCCAAATTTGCCACTGTTCAAAGTCTACCATTTGCTTCTGGTTTTACCCTCTGAGACTGAGGCTTCCACATGGAAGCCCTTTGAATACTTGAGGACAGTTATTCTGTCCCCCCTCCAGCCTTTTCTACTACAGGCCAAACCTTCCTAGACCTTTCAACCAATCCTCTCCTCCATCCTCACCCCTACACACCCCTTTCGACCTTTGGCTGTAGGCACAGTAAACATATCAATTGCTCCTGGAAGGCTGTACCTGTTGACTGCTCTCTGGATCAACTCATCATCCCTGTGATTTCCATGACATTCCTTTCCCTGGCCACCATTTCACCTTACATGTTACCTCCTCTTATCAGAAACATAAGTTCCCTGAGGGCAGGAGCTCTCTCATTCATAGTAATAAATGCTTTTATTATTAACTAATTAAAATTAATCAATGCTTTTACATTCATGTATGAATTTAGGGCCCTTCACCATTCTGTTTACCCAGCCATGAACATTTGCTCGTCGGTCAACACCCCTCCTAAAATGAATACAGTATTCCAGGGTTTGTGTGAGAAGAGTACAGACTGAGGGACTGTCACCTCCTTATGCCTAGCTGCCATGTTTCCATTAATGATTGTCATTGAATAAAGACAGTGCCCATAATAATGAAACCCACGAAGGTATAAAGTACATGGGGTGGCTAAGGCACTTAGGGTTCAATCCGTGTAACTGCTTTACATGTAGTATAACACAAAGAGACAGTTATAATGGAATCATTGAATGGTAAGCCAAACCTTGGGAGTCTACTTCCTTGAATTGAAATGCATGATATAAGAGGTACGTCAACCTGATTTCCCAGCATCATTTAATTTCCTATGAAAATCATTTAATCTTTTTCTTGAAAAAGGTATTTAATGATATATTTTTTTACAGTGTGAAAAAAGGGAGAGCATTTTAATACTATCGTGGCTTACCGTAGCTCATGATTTTGCAATTCAGAGAACAAAGTTGGATAGGGAGTCCTCAAGTTACCAATAGTTTGTGTTGTCCAAGATGGCTTATAAAGGTAGTTCCATGGAACTGGGAAACACACGTTTCCTATAGAAGCATAATTACAAGTGATGGTTAGGTTCCCAGGCTAGCCTATGTAACTATTAAACCCACAATGGAGCTTATTTACCATATAGCAAGGAAAAGTACAAGGAGTCAATTCAAATCAGTCCCAAAAATATTGATTAAGTACTTATTACATGAAAGGCACTCCATTAGTGTTGGAGATACAGAGAAAAATTGAAAACAGGCATGGCCTCAAGCAGCTTATACTCTGTTGGAAGGGAAATGAGAAAATAATCATAAATATTATAACAGATATTTCTATATTTCTTAAAAGCTTGCAAAACAATTTGCATACATTATGTTATTTCAGCCTCACCACATGTACTATAGATATTATTATTCCCATTTTACAAATGGGGAAACTGAGACTTAAATAGGATAAGAGGTTTACCCATGATCATAGAGCAAATAAGTATCTGAGGTAGGATTTGTGGCCCCTTTCTTACTGACTGAGGCAAGATTTGAACCCAGGTTTCTTGACTTCAAGTTCAGTGCTCTATCCTCTATGCCACACGGCATAACATATGTGCTTTTATGCTTGTGTCAGCACTGCTGACCCACCCCACCCCAATTCTCTTTTTATAAAATACCTTTATTTCAATGTTTTGCTGTTGCACATGTGTCTGGTTCTCCTGGGTGAGCAGAAGTACAGATTTTGATCTCTACGCCAGGCAAAGTAAGATATAGGTGGCTCTCAGAGGAGTGAGAAGGTCAGGTGAGCTGGTCAAAGGGCACCGAGGGGGTCAGTCAGCAGGCCTTAGTGTGGAATCATGTCAGTTGGCACTCTAATTAGGCCTGCTGATTCTAAAGTACCCCCCAAAGGAGGTCAGAGGTCTGTCCTGCTGTGGATAACGTGCCAACAAGGCCACCCAGAGGTTCAATTGGCCTGCCTGGGTGTGGGGAACAGCGTAGTCCCAGTAAGAGATTACAGGGCACAAGTTTCTCCAGTCAGAAGTCCTCCATCTGTCAGCGACATCAAGTGCTCAAAGTGACAGAAAATAACTGTTGGAACAAAATCATAGATTCAAAGATGAAAGAGACTGTCAGGTTATCTAGGCCAACTCATTCATTTAATGGAGACCTGCGTTAGTAATTAAATAAAATAAAATTTTAAAAACAGTTTTCATGTTCTTTTAAATGTACTTATTCTCTTTTCTCCAGTCCCCCAGTCACTAACTTAGTTCAGGCCCTCATTACCTCTGAGCTGGACTATCGCAATGGTCTCCTATTTGGTCTCCCTGCCTCCAGCCTCTCTTCCCTCCAATCCATCCTCTACGCAGCTGCCTGTCCTGACCTTGTCATTCCCCTGCTCCTTGAGCTTCTGGTTAGTTTCTCTTCCTAAGTATCTCCCTCCCCACCCCAATCTATTCTTCACTTAGCTGTTAAAGGGATTTTCTGAAGGTGTAGGTCTGACCATGTCACTGTCTCCAGTTAATAAAGTCCATTGGCTCACTGTTACATCTGGGATCAAATATGAAATTCTTTATTTGGTATTTAAAGCCCTTTGCAACCTGGCCCCTTCCTCCTTTTTCAAATTCTTTCTCTTCCTCCCCTCCACACCTTTGGCATCTATCTACAATGGCCTACGTGTAGTTCCTTGCAAACAATGCTGTAGCCTAGGTCTCTGTGTCTTTGCATCGGCCATCCCCATGCCTGGAATGCTCTTGCTCCTAGCTTTTAGCTTCCCTGGCTTCCTTGCAGATTCAGCTTAAAGCCCATCTCCTGAGGTGGTCCTCTCCTCAGCTACCAGTGCTTTCCTCTCTCCTATTCTGTATATATCTTGTGTGCCCCTAGTAATTACCATGGGGTCCCCCGCCATTAGAATGGGAGCTCCTCATTGCGTCTGGAAAAACCATAAAACAAACAAACAAACAAAAAACCCCCCAAAAACAAAAAACCAGAATGTACGTATTCTTTTGTCTGGCATTTAAAACACTTAACAATCTGGCCCAGTTTCCTCTTATTCCTTGTCATGTGCTCTACGCACCAGCCACAGTGGAACCTCGTCTATGGTATTTTATCTCCCACCTCTGTGGTTTGGTTACAGACCGTGCCCCATGGTTAGGGTGCCCGCCTTCCTCTCCTGTGCCTCTTAGACTCTTGGGTTCCATTTAAAGCTTAATTTCAATGCACCTGCTCCACAGGAGATCTTTTCCGAGTCTCTCAAGTGTTAGCACTATACGTCCTTCTCCCCTCATTACTTTGTACTTGTTTGGTCCATTTTTTGCACAATGTGTTTGTGTAGGTACATAAACAGAGCAGAATCTCCTTGAGGGAAGGCTGCTTTCCTTTTTTTTCTTTGTCTCCCCAGAGCCTATCAGAGAACTTGGAGATGAGCATGAGCTTTCTAAGCTGAGTGAATGGTAGTGCTTCAGAATGGGCAGGCTTAATGAGCGGATGATCAGGAGGTGGGTGGAGACTTGTGGAGATGCTGAAGCATCTTGGATGCCCACCTTGGCTTTGGTCATGTGCTTTTCCTTTTCATGTATCACTGGTGCAACTTCTCTGCTTCTCAGCCACAATTAGAGTAGTTTGGGGGGCTATCCATGGAATAGAGAGGGGTAAAAGGAGATTTTCTTGTGCCGACTGAGCAAGATTCAGGAGATAAAAGGGGAGACTGAAGGGCCTTAAAAAGAATTTCAGAGACAAGAGGTAGAATACCAGATCTAGAGCGAGAGGTCCCGGGTTCAGATCCCAGCTTTGATACTTCCTGTCCGTGCAGTCTAGGGTAAGTCAGTTTGCCTCTCTGCCTCAGTTTCCTCATCGTGAAGTTAGAGGGTTGGATTGAACGACCTCTAAAACCCCCTTTCAATTCTAAATCTGAGATTTTAACACTATCAACTTACCTGTGAGACAGTAATCTTATAATTCCATGACACCAAAGTTTTACCTGTGAGACAGTGTCACCTAGAGAATTAAGAGGACGAGACTGGCAATTTCCTTTTTTTTTTTTTAATTTTATTAATTTATTTTGATTTATCAACAATCACTTCCATATGCTTTTGAGTTGAAAATTTTTCTCCCCCTTCCTGCCCCCCACCCTCTTCAAGACAGTGCACAATCTGATATAGGCTTTACATTTACATACCCATTAAACATATTTTCACATTAGTGAAGTTGTAAGTAAAAATTAAAACCAATAGGAGGAACCATCAGAAAGATGAAACAAAACTCAACAGAAGGTAAAAATAAGTGATAGCGATTTGACTTCCATAGTTCTTTCCTTGGATGTGGATAGCATTTTCCATCATGAGACCTTTGGAGACGTCTTAGATCCTTGTATTGCTGAGAAGGGTTAAGTCCATCAGGGAGGAGGGGTTTAAGGAAGATCTGGATGGGAGCGGCCAGTAAGCTGGGATGAACAGAATGCCAGGGACCTGGACCATGTGGCTAAGGGAGAATGGAATCTAGATAGATTTAAGGGTGGGAAGTGGCCAGGGGCAATTGGAAGGTAATAGAATGGAATTGGAAGATTGGGTGTAGGGGTGTTGAAAGGCCAGCTGAGTAGATTACAGCCTCTGGCAAATGCAGATGCCCTACACTTTGGGAAAAGTGCAGGGATTTTCTTTTTTGGAGTCCAGATCCCAAAGACATGGTCTTTTCCTTTTAGGGGTTCAGATCCCATCCTCATCAATAGGGCATATTAAACAATTGTTCTGTGACTCTCCTCATGGAACCTGTGATTTCCCAGGCCTCCTTGGCCAACTCTCGCCTCTACGTATTGTCTTCCCTTAGTAGGATGTTAGTTCCTTGAGATCAGGGACTATTTTGTTTGTTTGTTTGTTTTTATCCCCACCCCTCAGCAAAGTGCTTGGAACATGGCAAATGCTCAATGAATGATTTTTCATTTATTCATTCATTCACTTGTTTATTCATTAATTAAAGAGAAGTTAAAGATGGATTTTTATTCAACTTTATAAGTCAAGAAGATTATCCTGGGAGTACTTCAGAATCCGGGACATAAGGAGATTTGTGAAAAGATCATTATGGAGGATATGGGGGATATGGAATGA